TCACAACTATCTTTGCCATTCTTACATTCCTATCAGAATTCTCCTTAACATCCACTCAATTGTTTCTTTTAACAAAGTTCTAAACATGTGCTTTGTGTTTGCCAAATACATTTATGCTGTGCGTGATCAACTCTCCAGCAACGTTAAGTGATCGATCACCTTAGGCCCATGTGCCTTCCTCAGACCTGCATCAATATGATGATGTATTATAATGACGTTTCTTCTATCTGCTCTTCTCCAAACGGTCTCCACTGTACGATTTCTGCCAAGACTAATTCCTGCTTGGCGGTACTCAATCAAGTGATGCTGCATTATAAAGCTGGGCAATGTCATAATCAATCCATCAGAGAGCGATTGACAGCTCTTTGTTAAGGAGCCGCCTCTTCATCACAGGCGTCATGTAAATGCAGCAGCCCTCCTGAGAACGGGTCCCTGCCTCTTCCAACCTAAGCTGCCCACTCACTGGCTGGCAGACCTCAGCCCCATCCACTCGTATCTGGACTACACTTGCTCCCTGTAAAACAGAGGTGAGCATTCCCCAAAAGCTCCCACAGGGACAACTGGGAGGAAGAGCTGTAGAGAGCTATGGATGTAGGAAGCACCGCAAATGACATGCTACGAAAATGGCCACAGGCAGAACAGTTGGGCTGACCAGCCACAGTGAGGGTGGCTGGGCCAACGGGTCAACCCCAGTGACCAACCCGGACAAGAGAGGCTCCACGTAGGAGTCTTGCAACATGCAGCTGTGACTCTGGAGGTGGCATGCTGGGACACCTGACCTCTCAGTCCTCCTGGGGTAGCCTGGAAAGGGCGTGGCTCCTGAACAATGTTTCACAGCCCAGAGTTCCTTGATGTTCTGTCTGGTCCCAACACCTCACACACAATGTGCCCCTGGCAGGCCACCCTCTCAGCCAAGAGAGGGTGGAGAGATTCTGGTGAGTGCACTTCCCAGAGCTGGTGAGTACTCACTTAAGGACGGCCACTGCTCAGCAGACCACACCTGATGGCAGGGGCCTCCAGCCCTCCCTCCTCTGTCCACTTCTGCTAAAACAGGTCCTTCCTCCACTCTTTTCAGACACAGGGTCTTTTCAGAAACTGACACGCATTCTATTCCTTGAAATTCCATCTCAGCTGCCCTCTTTACCGGTGAAGTTTAGCTCGATTCCGCTTCTGCTGGCCTTCCTCGACCTGGTCCTGTTCACAGGAGGCAGCTGATCCAAACTCACATAAATCCATTAGGAGTAGAAATACCTTCCTCACATGCTGAAGTCCACTGCTTTGAAATTAGATGGTTACTGAAACTCTTCCAAAAAACCTACGCGATGTCTAAATACTCCTTGAAATGTAAATAAAACAAAGAAGCATAAACAGAAAACAATTATTTGAGCCTGTAGTCTTTGAAGACCCCAAAAGTGCTTCTCAAGATAAAGCAGAGAGGAAACGCCACAGTCCATGCCTCTGCCCACAGTCAACAGGAGGGAGAGAAATGGAACAAGCAACTTAGTCTTCATGCCCTGTGAACAATTAAGTAATGGTCTATCCCACCAGCACATCGCCTTTATAGAGATACCAAACACCACCAGAGACATGGCACAGATTCCACGCAGCAGGGAACACAGCTTGCCATGCCTGCTCCAGAACTCAACACTCTCTGCTATGCCATTTTGGACACGTTAGGTGAGGCGGGACTTACTAGGAATTAAAACGATACTCAGGATCCAGAATAAAGTTGTGTTGAACACAGCCACATCCATCTGTTTATATATCATCCGTGGCTGCTTTCACACTAAAATGGGTAGCATTGACAGCAGTGACAGGGACTACGTGGCCCACACAGCCTACAATATTTACTACAGGTTGAGCATCCCTAATCTGAAAGTACAAAATCTGAAATGCTCCAAAATCTGAAACTTTTTGAGCATTGACATGACACTCAAAAGGAATGCTCACGGGAGCACTTCAGATGTCCGCATTAGGGATGCTCAACCGGTATGCATTCTGCAAATATCCTAAAATGTGAAAAAAACCGAAACACTTCAAATCCCAACAAGCATTTCAGATAAGAGATACTCAACCTGTATCTGGTCCTTTACAGAAAAAGTTTGCCAACCCCTGTTTTACATGATTCTTTGGAACAAGGAGGCTTTGAAATGCCCCCAACCACAGCCACCGAAAATCATCTACTCGACATCACTCCCTCCCCACGCCTTGTAGCTCAGTCTATCCTGAGACACACACACGCACACACACAGAGAGACCTCCACATCTCCCCTCCACGTGGCTTCTACCACAGTCAAGAGGAACTAACACATTACCAGCCACCTGAACTGAAAGCCAAAGTCAAAGATGGAGCACAACGTAAACTTGGCTAGCTTAAGTTCCTCTTCCTTTCTTCTTTACTCTTTCCAGGACCACCTTGCAACCAGGAGGTCCACTCCAAGTCACCACACTGTCTGTTCCCTCCTGCCTTCAGCCCTTTGTCCACGTGTCCTTAGGGAGAAATGTTCAACGTCTCACTCACATGGACAGGACGAACATGGCAGGATAAAAAACAGAAGTGTCTGCTCAAGCAGAAATTTAAAACCTGAAGTGTTTCTTAGAGGTCTACCAGCAACTGCACACAAGGAACTCAGCCTCTTGGCTGGCTTCCTTTATCTAAAGCACAGCGCCCTCACATGGTGTGGAAGGGAAGGACAGTCTTCCTGAAAAGCTGGCTCTGGTGCCATCTGTGAGAGGGCCCAGCATTCACTCTGCAAGGATTTTAAATCAATGTTATCCAGATTTCCACCCTCGGTTCCTTCACAGATAGCTCCTCGCTGGAAACTTTACACCAAGAAGTATAAACTCTGACCTCTACAGAAACTCACTAAACCGCAGCAAATGGGATTCAGATGTTTCCATGTACAGTACAGTGATGTGACCTAGACTTTAAACACTTTGGCAAAAACAGGAAAAATGATGTGGGCCTTCCAGTCCCTCCCAGAACATGATACAGTCTTGACCCGAGCCATACAGTGATCTGAGCCTTTCTCACTCCTACTTAAGCCTCCTCACCCACAGCCCACATTCTCCCTGCTCCACATTAGCTCCTACCAGGCCCTCTCCAGGCTCTATACCATTTTCCTTGCTTCACCAAAGCCGCCAATTCCTCCCAGCTGAGCAAAAGCGGATCATACCCTTATCAGAACTCAGAAAACTCCTGAAAAGAGAACTAGGCTTATCCTAGGAAATTACACCCAGAGCTTTCCCTTGAAGTGCTGGGAAGAGAGCAGAAGTCTCACATTAAAAACTCTGACCCCCAGGCTTCCTGGCTTTGCTTCAGATTCTGATGACTTGCTGCAGACTACATGGTAAGGGCTAGAGAATTCTAGATGGTGGCACAAGATGAGGTGGAGATGGAAGAAGCAGTTTCTTGTGCCTGGGAAGACAGACACGAAATAGAATCAGAAACTGCCTCCCGGGGGGG